TCCTTCTGCATAACTGAAAGTAAGCATTAAGAAACTCAGAGAATTTGAAGAAAAAAAGAATAATTGAAGAAGAATTAATCAAATGAATCATGTGTAGAGAAAATTGGCAAACATCCTACTTGGGAAGACTTGATAACGTAACCGGTAGTGTTGACGCTTTAGCATGCAATGTTTGCGGTTTTGTCTCACTCCAGGCCAGATCTTTTCTTCTAGATTTCTCCAAACTAATTAATCATTAATTTATAATTATTGAATTTAATACAAAATGATACTTAACACTTTTAGTACCAAATTATTTTAATTAATTGCCGCGTAAAATAAATCTACAATTGTTTGGCTGTTGCTGAATTCTGTCTTATCCGGTGGCGCGTTATCTTATGGGCATTTATTGAGGGTTTCCACCAACAGAACGTCTCAAATCAATCTTTTATAAGAAAATATTTCCCCAAAAAAATTTCCTCGAAAAAAAACGTCTGAAGTCAACATTGTACTTGGAGCCTCCTAATTGAAATTTGCCTGGGCCCCTTGAAGCGTCACTGGTCTTATCACATATTTTACAAAACAAAAGCATGCATTAAACGTTTAAAAACCTCGAGGTATTGTAAAGTATATGGCAATTTTTTAACGGTCATCTGTTCTAAGCGGACAAAGTCTTTAGTTCCAAGAATGTCCGCTAAACTCAGTTTCTGCTGCACATGAAAACATATTTTTTTTATTATTTAATTTAAATACTTTTAAAATTTCTCCCAAGTAGAATTCTATTGACACTTTACAATCTATAGAAGGATTCCATTAAACATAACTTGATAAGTCTCTGCGCGTTTTACAAATGAAAATTTTAAAATTTACATCAATTTATAAGTTATTTTTAAAAATTGAGGCATTGAAATTGCTTTCATAAATTTAATAAATTCATTCAAACTTGTGCTACATAAAATTTTTATATAATTTATACTTTATAGAAAATATATGTACCAGGTTTCGAATATAAACATGAGTCGAATGGATTTTTTAAATATTATTTTTATAAATAATTAAAATAAATATTAAGTTAAATTATTTTAAAAATTACTTTATAGCATTTATTTTTTGCTTATAGGATTTAGATTTTAATTTGCCTATTTTGTATCAAAACTACGGACACGATGAAATGAAAAGTCAAATGGAAATTACTGATAAAAACATAAATCAAAATTTAAAACCTTGTTTTACTTTATTAAAATCTAAAGGTGCAATAGATTCTCGATTATCCGGTATGGCAAAATTACCTGCAGACGAGTCGTTAAAGGCCAGAAGGAGGTGGAAGGGCAATGATACACTATGTTGAAGTGTCCAGTTCGTTAAATTTGTTTTCCTCTTCGCGTTTTTGCGAAAATGCACCTGTTACGTTTATGGTGTACAAGATTTAAATGATGTCGGATTAACCGAGATTTTTTATTAATTGGGATGATATTTTTCATTTGTCCCGGATAATCGAGTGTCTATCATTTTTCCATTGACTTTCATACTATCCATCAATGAAATTTGAAATTGAAAAAATTGTAGACAAATTCCCACTATCGTCCGACTGTCTGCCTGTCTGTCCGTCCTTAACTTGGAGAACGGTGTTAGATAGATGAAATCCAAGACCAGATATAGAAAGCTTAGGGCAGGAGGTCTGATTAACTATACACGAACTTCCGATGCAAACCGGAATTAATCTAATTTCAATTCAAAACTTCCCCCAAAAGGAGTTAAATAGATAATCCTTCTGGCTCTATTACTAACAGGAAAAGTATGATGTACGGGGTGAGCCACTAGTAATTTGAGATGGAAAGCATATATTTTAAATTAAATAAATTAAAAAATATGATTAAAAATTGCAGCAGGCATTATGACAATGTCACAATAAATAATAAATGTTTGACAGGCTGGAGAATATGCTGAAGATAATCTGGTCCAGGTTTTATTTGTACTCCTAGCCACCTGTATTCCATGTGTGTTAAGAGGTTTGCTGTTGACAATAAATTGCCAGATCTGGCAGCATTGCCTGTTCCCACTATTCATATGGCTAAAACAACAAAATGCCCATGCCTCATGTTAATATAAACATTCATCTTTATCCAAACAATGATAGATAGATTCCACATTATCTGTATATAGCTCAAATTTTGTTTTGTTCTTGCTTCATCCATCTGTTTTCAGATATCAGCTTTATCTGCTTGTGACTTGAATAAAGTGCACTTTATGCAGATAAAATTCAAAATTA